ACCTTGTTTGTTGTGAGAAAGAAACGTTTAAGTTGATACTTTAACAATTTTGTTATATATTATTTTATAATTACGAATAACAAATACAATATGGTTTTTAACCAGTGGGATGTTGTTCACAAATAACATAATTAATTTCTATCATTTTATAGTGTTGAAAGTTTACGTTTCGGGTGAAATATTTTTGATTTTGTTTGATGACCTTTAATGATATCTATTTGATAGAAATATATGAGAATTTGTTAGTTTTATTATTTTTGTCATATCATTATCGCAAAACGTGAACGATATATTTGTGAAACATGATCATTTACATATGTACATGTGTTTCATGTTTTAGATATTAAATAGTGCATTTATTTCTTAAAAGTTTAAAATTCAGTGCAAGAATTTGTGATTTATATATATATATATATATATATATATATATATATAAACAAGTCTAAATTGAAAACAACGTTCAAACCTACGATTGCGTTGGATAAAAACCGCAATTTTTATACGTGTGCATGCAAAACAAATTTCTTGGTAGAGGGGTCTAAATACAGAACAAACAACATTTTCCAAAAGACCAAATGAGTGAAAAAGTATATTTTAACAAAACGCTTTTGACTAGCAGGTCGAACAACTGATGTTCTTAAACCCTGCTGATTGCCATTGGCGATTGCCAAATAAACGGATCACAAGATGTAACAAAATAGATCTTATTATTAATTTATTACCAAACAGAAAACAATAAACTTGCGGAAAAGATGGTATACCGCAAACATGAGGTGCAAAAATTTGTACACCATATCCGGATTTCGACAATTAATTTCTCTTCAGTGATGTGAGGAATCGAAACGGTATTTGGAAGGCCATATAATTTACCTCAATTTAGGATCGACTCTTAAATTTTGAAAGAGTCAAAGTAGGATGAACGGATCATATAAACCCGAAGGCAAATATAATACAAGCCCAAACGAAAAAATATAAACAAGTCTCAATTGAAAACAACGTTCAAACCTATGATTGCGTTGGATAAGTACTCGACTGAATTTCATATTTTATCTTCGGCAAAAAAATCGGCATTTGAATAGTTTGTAGGTGTAAATATCACAAAAAGCTGAAGCTACTTCTTTGAATTATATATTTAACGCGTTATAATTTAAAAAGTAGGAAATAAAAATAGAACTGCATCAAACGATTAATATAAGAAATGAAACGTCATGTATGTGTGATAATCATATTTTTTTTTATTATCTTAGTAATGGTAATGACCGACTTAATAATATAACGAAAAAAAAAAATATAAATAAGTTTTTTTTCTTGAAATATATATACATATAAACAATGATAGATTTATAATTCAGGTATTTGAGTACTACAGAAGACAAAAGTAATCAGAGTACAAAAGGAATAGTAGGAATCATTGCCAATATTCTGACTGATCATTCATAGAAATGGAGACTGGACATATTGCATTTTACCATTTGATAGAACAGAATGAAATACTAAGTAAGTAACATAATAGCAATATTTTATGCTACATCGGTTTCGAATTTCACAGATATACATAAAGTGTTAAATATAACCGTTAATCATGTTAATGCTAGTGTGTTTAGATTTGACGCGTTTTTTTAACTAGAATTATTTATTTAATTAGAACGCATTTTGATAAGGTTATGTTTTCTGTATCCATACCTACAAATGTACCCTCAATTTTCCTGCTTCACTTAGCTAGCACAGTGAAGTCTAACTATAATTGTAAAACATGCATTTTGCCTATTACTTTGCCTTGTATAGTCTGGTCAAATATTAAAAAAAAACAGTATTTACTCTACATATTTAACCTATCTCGTTGTGCCAGGAGACCGGAAACAATATGTTTTGGGATCTTTTGTTTATATTATAGGAAGTTTACATTGAACACTCATTTATTCATTACCTTATTAAAGGGGCAGTGAAATAATTCTTATGAAGATATACTACTAGATAAAGGATTAAACATAAGAGAAAGTCAGAAATAGTGACAAAACAAAGTGTAGCAAAAGGCAAAAGGAACGATCTCTCGTGAATAAAAACATATTAAAATACAGGAATAGGAAAATAGTTGTATGAATTGAATAAGCAATGCATTCATGCAGAGCTTTGACAGTGCAACATAAACCATAATGATTTTATACAGATGTGAATTATTATGACATGCATGAATAGACTTTTAACTTTCATTTTATATCTGATTAAGCAATGTATAGATACCAAAACAAAATATAAAAAATAATATTTTGCTGGTCGTCTAGCTAATGATCAATTATTCAAATTCATACCTTTTTTTTTAAAATTATTTAGGAAAAGTAGGTAACATAGATATGTTGATTGAATCCATTCAAATATGGGTAAAATTCAAAAGTACCATTCCTGGAATGAAAGAGACAAAATACCAAAGTTTCAGGGTAGAATATAAGAAACAACGTGGTAACAACAGTGGATGAGTAAAACGCAATAAATGCAGCATCCTTCATATGGATCGAAAAGTTTGCAAATTGAACCAACATAGATCCAACGTTTGTTGAAAGTTTGTATTACTACGTTGGCCCAACGTTTGTTCAAACTTGGCTTTATCATTCAATTATTTGGTCAACGATGGACCTATGTATTGTATAAAAACCTTACAACGCTGTGCCATCGTTTAGCAATCACGATTGGCAAACAAAGGGCCACTTTGCATTTATACATTGGAACGTTGGGCCAATGAATGTTAATACGTTGTTAAGATTTTTTCAACAAAGAAGTGCAAAAGGACATACACAAATGTATAGGCACTCTATAGACACATAAAGTGCATAAAAAACATATGCATATATATTTTTGAAGTTCATACGGAGTATTTATCAACAAGGTCTTAGTACATGTATCTTCCGATGAACTATTTGAAAAAGAAAGAGACGTTCTTTGACATAACCTTGGTTCATTGAATTTGACACCTTGACCCGATAATTTATATTCAACTTGGTCGAAATGACATATGTAAAACTATATAAATTACTTTTAAGGAGTTATACGTGATTATTTGTTCTATATTCTTCTGCTATAAAAAAATACATTATTGCAGAGTAATGACATGGCCAGACTGTTTCTGTATCAGTTAAAAGAGAGAAAATGTTATCATGCATTTTAATGCCACTATCGTTAGTTTTCATAACATGTTAATAATATAACGGTAAAACTACTTAAAGCTGTGTTTATGTCGATTACAAATGTAAGAGTGTAATCATACTTTTATTTTTAACTTCAAACATGGACTGTCATTTGTTTTAAGTACTTTTTTGTATTTCAGGATTGGTTGTTTTCATAAAATATGATCATTATAAGTGATAATAAGTATTAAGTAAAATGTTGTTTGCATTTAAAAAAAAAATGCCAATATTTCTTCCTTTTATGAGAATCAATACACCTTTGTTTACAATACGTCATTTCAAATCCCTCTGTGTGAGTTATATTTCTGAAATGTGAATAATTTAAGGATAAAGATGCTTCAACTTATGCGTGTGTTGAGTAAGTATGCTATTATTCTTTTATTTCAACATGTTCAATGAAAAGCACGAACTGCAATTGGATTGTAACACTTTTTGTTCATCAGGATGTGTTGTTTTTTCATAAAAAAAAGATAAGTATATAAGATAAGTAACTAACATTTTGTTTGCGTTGTTTAAAAATGCTCACATTTTTTTTCTCATAAAATTCAGTTCACTTCTATTTGCAATCATTAATTTTAAATACATATTGGTGGTTAATTTCTTTTTTAAGAATATAAATAATAAGAAGGATAAGAAAACTTAAATTGGTATGTGTTGAATAAAAGTGTGATTATTTCTTCATTTATACCAGAAATCATGACCCATCATTTGGTAAAACTTCTATTTGTTCACCTGGATTGGTGGTGTATATCAGAGAAAAGCTGATATGATATGTATTTGCATTGTTTCAAAATGCCCATATTTGTTCTTTTTATAAAAAATAAAGGCACTGTTATTGGCAATAAGTCATTTCCAATGACTCTTGATATATATTTTTTATTAGATATATATAGTATTAGGATAAAAATGCTTAAACTTATTTGAGTGTTTAATAAAAGTGCAAATATTTATTTTTATGGAAATGATACACCATCATTGGTTTATATAATTTTTTGAACATCAGAATGTTTTTTGTTGTCATACAATATGATCAATCAGAGAACAGATACTTAAATGTTGTTCACATTTTTAAAAATATTTCTTCTATTTATCAAAAATTATTCACACATATTTGCAATCGGTCATTTTTGTTTTTGACGCTGTACACTTTATTCTATTTATAAAATGTAAATTATATCAAGGTTAAAGATGTTTAAACTTTTGTTTGTGCTTAATAGAAATGCAATCATATCTCCAATTAAACGAAATCATGCATGATTGGTTGTTTTTCATTAAATATAATAATTATAAGTAATAAACTATGACGCTTTCATACAATATGATGAATATCAGAAACAAGATACTATTTTTGTTTTCAATAATGTAATGTTATTTGCAATCAGTCATTTTAAACGCCACTAGATTTTTTTTTTCAAGTGTTAATAGAATAAAGATATAGATTCTCAAAGTTGTGTTTGTGTTTAATAAGAATTCAATCGTTTCCTAGGTTAATGGAAGTTATGATCTGTCAAGTTAGTACCTTTTGAACATCACAGGGGGTTGTTTTTCATCAGATATGTTGAATATCAAAAGAAATATACACAAATTTCCGATTGCATTCTTTAAACGTGCTAATTCTTCTTCTTTTAAGAAAACAATGATGCACTGCTTTATCTTATCTTTTTATCAAAATAATGCACTGTTAGTGATTATATCTTTTTATCAAAATAATTTACTTGATACACATTGCCCAAATATCAAAATATATACGAAGACATGATTGATGACGAATTTGTATATCACTACACCTAATAACTATCACTACTTTTGTTGGCTAATGAATTGCCATTGTTATACATTTAATCAAAAAATAAAACAACAACTACAACAACATACATAACACAACCAAATTAATTGTCAATCGAAATAAAAAATCATAACATTGTATCACAACTTGGCGATTTAAATTTGCTGTACTGAAGGGCGGCCCAGTCTGCAATATTTCACAAGTAGCAGTTGGGATATCCATAGTCTGCATAAAATCAAGTGGAATACGCTCCTGATGTGTAAGTAAATATGTATTGCAGGATGTTACCATGACGGAAACATTTACGAAGACTGGATCATCTGAAAAAAAAATAATAACAACTTAAAACAAAGCTCAATTTACAATGGTCGAGGATGATGGGTCTAAATTTCCCAACGTCTTCTCAACTTGGTTTTAAAAGAAAATATAAACTATGAAGTTGCATGAAGTTTTACACAAACTCTCACACGCTCGAATCAGCATATCAATGACAGGAAAGGACGACTCGATTTGCCTAGCCTGTCAGAACACGTATTTGCTGATGCAATTAACGAATTTGATTGCAATTTAATCAAAATTGTATTATTAAATATATCTTTTTATCAAAATATTATACTTCATGTACATTGCCCAAGTACCAAATTTTATAGGAAGACATCATTGGTCATATTGATAACGGATTTGTATATCACTACAACAAATAACAAACACTGATTTTGTTGAGCTAATGAATTGTCATAGCAAAACTTAATCAAAAATTAAAACAACAACAACAACATACATTACACAACCAAATTAATTGTCAGTCAAAGTAAATTCTTGACGACGATTGAACTTATCATTGCTCGGCTATCCAAAAGCTGATGTACTGAAGGGTGGTTCAGTAAGCAATTGTTTTACAAGTAGTAGCTGGGATATCCTTAGCTGGATAAAATCAATTAAATTACACCAGAATTAAGTAAAGTTAAGTTAAGTAAAGAATGATTATCAACCACAAAATTTACCCCTTGACAATTCAAACCATATCAAAGCTATGAGCAATTTTAACAACATTTCAAACAAACGGAATAATTCAACATATTTTGTAATAATCATTTTTACAGCAACTAAGTTTCAATACCGACTATGTATTGGTGTTTTGTTTGTTAGCGTCAACATAGATTATGTTTTTTTTTTTGATACAAAACAATGTGGATACTTTATGAATGTTTCTATTGATGATTGTTTTTGTTTGTAAATAAACACCATTTCCTAAAAATAAAAAATGTATTTCGTCGTCAAAATATAAGACTGGAGACCGTCAAAATCAGGATACGTACTCACATATCCTCCAAGTTTTAGAATAAAAGCTTAAGATCCCACTTTTCCTTCGTTTAACTCCCATTGAATAGTCATCATTGAGTATACGTAACGCCATGAACGCCGAGAAATAATGCCCATATTAGTCAACATTTTGGAAGCATATGTGATAAAATTTGCTTTTCAAATTTAAGTGTGTGATAAAGAAGAGCACCACACGATACCTTTCCAATATCATTCCAAGCACAATGCAATACTAAAGCTGGTTAACTTTTGCTGCGCAAATTGAATAGGTTATAAACTGTACCAACAACATTATCCCATATCATTCCAGACTTGGCTGCGAAGCGCAAAAAAACAATCGACATTTTAAGAGATCTAAATGTTTACCTGATTGGCTGTTTTCTGAGTGATCTCGAGAATGGCAAAATTTTGAAGAACCAACAATCAATATGTCAAGCAGCTGAAAATATAATTTAATTTGTTAGCTCAATTTTTCCAACGATCTAAGTCTGTATGAACATTCATTGCAAGATATGTTGCTTCACCTATTCGAAACGAATGCTTGTTGATCTCATTAGAAAAATAACCAATAAATCGCATGGTCTTAAATAGTACTTTAGAAAATTGATAACGTGTTGCATCGGTCTGTTAAAATAACAGACCTGGGTCCATTGTTTTTGTGTCTGACTGAAAGAAACTTAAATAACATATTTACTAGTCAACTATTTCTTGATCAAACTTTGCTACTGTTTATGTTGTAAATCAACCTTTTTGGTCTATTTTTTACATCAACTCTGTGTTTATTACTTGTTATCAATTTCCCAGATTCTCATACATGCATAGAATGCGAAATGACTGAAAACATGGATCGAAATGATGTATTTTCATCCATAATCATGTAGATGGCTCACCCTGATTAGTCGTAGTATAGTCGAAACTTTTGAATACTAGGTACTGCGGGTACGATGCATTATACAAGATGCAAAACAAGAGGCTGTCAGACTGACAGCAAACCGGATTTTCCTGCAGAGGTCGAACCCTGAACAGTTGAGCAAGTATGGACACTACATTTAAGCTTGAAATAGCTCTAAATTTGGATTGTGATTGAATATTTGACACAGCATACGTTAATGACACAAAATTTATATAGTCAGAGAACAGAAATATTTGAAATTAAACATTTACCTATTATGGTCCAATATCAAAAATCTAAGTACATATTAGAATCAGCATATCAAAGAACCCAAAGAATTCAATTTTTGATGAAATCAGACAAAAGTTTAATTTAGGACCCTTTGGACCTCAATGTCGACCAATTTGATAAAGGAGCCCACAATCCCAAGGGGACTCGCCCTGTATTTCATTTGGTTTGTTTTTTTTGTCCCATACAAGAATATGTATGGTTTAGGGGAGGAAATCTCAACCGTTTACAAGTTATCAAACCGGAGGGTGGTGGGAGTGATCCCAGGGGACTCGCCTTTAATTTCATTTGATTTGTTTTATTGTCCCATACAAGAAGATATATGGTTTCGGGGTGGGGATCTTGACCGTTTACAAGTTTTCAAAAGGAAGGGGGAGGGGGGGGGGGGGGGGGGTGTGACCCCCGTGAACTTCCCCTATATTTCATTTGATTTGTTTTATTGTCACATACATGAATATATATGGTTTAGGGGTAAGGATCTCAACCGTTTACAAATTCTCAAACAGAAGGGGTTGGGGTGATCCCGGGGACACTCCCAATATTTCATTTGATTTGTTATATTGTCCCATACCAGAAAATATATGGTTTACGGGTGGGGATCTCGACCGATTACAAGATAAAAGCACATTCTCAAATTGAAGGACGGGGGGTGGTGGGGGTAAGAATATATATGGTTTAGGGAGACTTAATTATCTTCAAAATTTCTAAAAATGATCAGTAAATTTCTTACTATATTTATACAGTCCTATATAGTTTATAATCATCAGCACTTGGGAAACAGAGAATTTTCAAATAAATCTGTCACTCCAATTATAATTGTGAGATAAGACATTTACAATATGCTTTGTCATAATCTGATAACAGGAGAAAATTATTTAAAACCACTTAATGTAATCAAACTTTATATATATAATTAACCATTTCTGTACAAAGAGAAATAACTCAATCACATTATAAATACCACTTTTGGATATTGAAAAGGGTGATAATTCAACAAGGAGAAAGTTTAAAATCGTGAAAATTGAACTTGACCAATTTAGTCACAGGAAACAAAATATCTAAATTTGAAAAAAATTCATCAAAGCGTTTTCATGTTATTGTACGGACACTGTTTGGCAGGCGCCCGCTCGCCCGACCGCCTGCCTGCCCGTCCGCCCGCCCGCCCGCCCATCGTACAACACCAAAACAATAACCGATATTTCCTTCGAAAATCCGATTAATAATATATTTTCCTTTTACCGAAAAGAAATATATTATAAGAAGTCTTACGTATGCTGTAACGAGACATTTATATTGAAATGCAGAATTGCTACTTTGAGTCTAAAAATGATCTACAGAATGGTGGTTGAATGTGCCTCTGCTGAATAATGCCAATTTTTAAACCTGTCAATTTGTTATGAAAAATACAATCTGCATTTATAAATGTAAAACCAGGGGAAAAATGCTTCTTCGTGAAACTTTCAGAATAATGACCAAACATACAATAATTCTATCAAATTCCTTATGCGCAAGGATTTGATGTCCAACTAATGATTGAAAAATTCCGAAAAAGATATTATGTGACTGTTAGATATTTGTGAAGCAGGCCATAATTTATCGTCAAATCTGCTTCTTTGGATTCTAAAGTTTTGAGTCAACTCTTTGAAAATATGTTGAGTCAAACATCAAACAGGTCTTACTGTTATTTGATATGTTCCCATGTTTTCATTTTGGAAGCAATGCTAACTTTCCTTGATAATTACTTGTTAAAAAACAGAAAGCAAAAGCGTGTGCTTATCCGCATTTTAAACATGAATTGGTATAAAACAATTCTGTCAATAATACGCATCCTTAAAGTTAAAATTTCCGCATGTTCGACAACATACAAAAATTATAATGTAGTATGATTACCAATGTGTATCAATTCTCCACCAGAGACACAATTTCATAGTAGTTTACAACTATAGGTCACCGTACAGACTTCAACTGTCGAACCAACTGTGCCCCCTCTTCTTGACGACTTGTTCCTTTATTCTCATGAGGCTGACTTTATACAGGAACTTCTTAAGAAGAAAAAAAAAGAAGTTAGCATTGTCCTTTAACTTTACTTTCCTCTATATACATTATGTTCTCTCACTTAATCATTTAAAATTTGGTGACTATGTTGAACGCATCTATCCCATCGAACAAGAGATAAAGGATACAACAGATACAGTTAAGTCAGCTTCATATCTTGACTTACATCTAGAAATTGACAATGAGGGTCGGTTGAAAACAAAATTTACGAAAAAGAGATGATTTCAGCTTCCAAATTGTGAACTTTATATTTATATGTAGCAACATTCCAGCAACGCCTGCATACGGAGTATATATCTCCCAATTAATACGATATTCCCGGTCTTGTATTTCTTATCATGATTTCCTTGATAGAGGGTTGCTGCTCACAAGGAAGCTATTAAACCAAGAGTTCCAAATGGTGAAGTTGAAATCATCCCTTCGTAAATTTTACGGACGCCATCACGAGTTGGTTGACCGTTATTTGATAACTATTTACACCCCTGGGTCGATGCCACTGCTGGTAGACGTTTCGTCCCCGAGGATATCACCAACCCAGTAGTCAGCACTTCGGGGGTTGACATGAATAAAAATTATACGGTCATTTGTTTTTTAAATTAACTGTTTGCAAAAGTATGAATTATTCGAAATACTAATAATTTTTTTATCCCAGGCATAGATTACCTTAGCCGTATTTGCCACAGCTTTTTGGAATTTTGTGTCCTCAATGCTCATCATCTTTATGCTTGTTTGGCTTTCTAACTATTTTGATCTGAGCGTCACTGATGAGTCTTATGTGGAAGAAACGCGCGACTGACGTATCAAATTATAAGCTTGGTACCTTTGATAACTATTTACACCACTGGATCGATGCCACTGCTGGTGAACGTTTGGTCCCCGAGGATATCACCAGCCCAGTAGTCAGCACTTCGGTGCAGGAATGGGGTAATGCAAATTTGTAATTGTAATGCATGGTAATGCATTACATTTTCCCAAGTAATTGCATGTAATGTGTAATGCAGCTATTTTTGCATTACATGTTATTGTAAATTTATGCCTTACTTTAGCAAAAAGTTGTGTAATTTCATGCATTACATAACATTACATGGCATTACTTTTTTCACATACTATATATCTTTAACAGATCGTTGGAGATTTAACTAAAGCAGAATTTAAGATTTCTTGATTAACTAAGAACATAATCATTTGGATATTGATTTTCTATTTTCTATTTATTTTTCACCCTTTACATAAATCGCTAGAGGGAATTTGGAGATTAAGCCTTGCCCCAGGTAATACTTGAAAAAAAACTGGTATAAATACTAGAATGACCAAATTACAATTCTAAATGAATAACACAACACTGTATATCATATTGAGTTCTTTTTTTATTTCATTTTATTGCATACTTTTTTTTACATAAAAAAAATGATATTTGAAAAGCAATACTGTATTCCATTGTTGTAAAAAGATCAATGAATACCTTGTCATGATTACAATCATGTAAATAACAGATACTTGAACATTGTCTTAAAACACTAATTAGTTTGTTTTACAATCAATATTTTCACCATTTTGACACTTGGTCATAAATTAAGCTCTATGTTTATTATATAATTAGGAAAGAAATTCTCATTAAATATTTTTATTGAAATTAAGAAAACAAATGTATATTTATAAAAGTAAAGCTTACATTGAGTTAACATAAGTATTAAACTTCATCTCTGTAATTTCTTTTTGGAGAAAACACAGAGATGTATACCTTGAAACATAGAATGCGCATGAAGGATGAAACCTTCAAAACCCTCATGAGGTTAAAATGTAATAGTCGTATTGAATAGACTTTTTACATCTATATTTAAATTCAATACATGGAACACTTACTCCATATGCTAGAATATTTTGTGACTTCATGTTGTTTTTCAAAATGTTGGATTTTTCTTTTAACTTGATAATAAAATTTACAAATGTAATGTGTAATTCAATGCATTACTTTGCAAATGTAATTGTAATTTAATGCATTACTTTGATAAATGCATGTAATTGTAATTGTAATTTAATGCATGGTTTTGTCAAAGTAATTGTAATATAATGCATTACATTGCAATGAAATTCGCCCCATGCCTGCTTCGGTGTTGAACTGAATACCAATTATACTGTCTTTTTTTAAATTAACTGTTTGCAAAAGTATGAATTATTCGAAATACTAAGGATTTTCGTATCCCAGGCATAGATTACCTTAGCCGTATTTGTCACAAATTTTTGGAATTTTGAATCTTCAATGCTCTCCAACTTTATGCTTGTTTGGCTTTCTAACTTTTTTGATCTGAGTGTCAATGATGAGTCTTATGTAGACGAAACGCGCGACTGACGTATCAAATTATAAGCCTGGTACTTTTGATAACTATTCTTTATCTCGTAACTACAATCCTGTTCCCTTTTAACGAATGTGGACTACCGAATAGGACTGATTACCGGTTTTGTACTAACATCGTGTTGCTTAGTCTTTATTTTGCTATGTTGTGTTTTGTTTACTATTGTTTGTCTTTTTGTCTTTTCGTCTTTTTCTTTTTTAGTCATGGCGTTGTCAGTTTATTTTCGATTTATGAGTTTGAATGTCCCTCTGATATCTTTCGCCCCTCTTCAACAATGAGGCAAATAATAGGTCCCGAAACAACAAATGTAAAACAATTCAAACGAGACAACTAACGGCCTGATTTATGTACAAAACAATGAACGAAAAACAAATATACTTTATATTTATTTATTAAATTATTTACTACAAATTTTCACTTCTTCGTACTATGAACATCAAAATTATTTATTTTTCCTTACATGCTGTTCTTGGACCTGTACAGGAAGTTTTATCTAGCACTAATTGTATATTTTTATTGTTGATATTCACCCCATATGTACCAAGTGTTAGATTAGTTTTATTGATATTAAAGAAATTTCTTGGTATTCCTAAACGGAAGATTTTATACAGAAGAAGAAGTATACTTAACAACAAAATTATTTTCATTTACCTGTGTATAATATGACGCAGGTTTCTTCAAAAGTGATGATTTTCTAAATTCACAGTGATATCATACTTTAACTTTGTTTAAACCTGTTTATTTACTTTTGACTTTAATTATTTATCCCTTGTAATTTTTTATTAACTGTGTATTTGCATTCAGACGTCACAGGTCAAATTTATTCGTTCATTGTGTGTTAATTTACGTTTTTTGATTGAGTTAAGCCTTCCAATTGATATTTTATAGTGTGTTTTTCTATGTCGTAATGTTATACTATTGTTTCAGAAAAGGGAGAAGGTTTGGTACCATTAAAACGTTTAATCCCGCTGCAAATGTTTGCATCTGTCCTAAGTCAGGAATCTGATTACAGTAGTTGTCGTCTGTTTATGTAGTTCATACGTGTTTCTCGTTTCTCGTTTTTATATAGATTAGGCCGTTGGTTTTTCCGCTTGAATGGTTTTACACTAGTAATTTTTTGGGGCCCTTTATAGCTTGCTGTTCGGTATGAGCCAATGCTCCGTGTTGAAGGCCGTACCTTGACCTATAATGGTTTACTTTTATAAAATGTAACTTGGATGGAGAGTTGTCTCATTGGCACTCATACCACATCTTCCTATATCTATATAACAAAACAGTAACAAATGGCAACCACGTGCACTGAATCATTTTCTCCTGACTTGGAACAGGCACATATATGAGGCGGGGGTTAATACACTTGTCGTTTGATTTTCAATACTTTTTGATTCCCCATTTGCTATAACAGTGTACCATAAAATGTCACCAATAGAAGACCATGATCTTGTAAGATTGTTTACAATTCTTAGCCTTAATTGCTGCTCATAGTGATAGATCTTCTCAAAACAAACCTGTGTACCTCTAAATATTGACATATAAGTAATCAATTCAATGGTTAAATTTGGAATATTTGGCAAAAACATCTTAATATATTCAATAAATGTATCGGTCCATGACTCAATATTTTGGATAGATTGAACTTTGTTTTTTTTATAGGCAAATTGACAAGTCAATCGGTGTTTTTATTATAATTTATCATATGTTTAGGCCTGTCAATTTGACTGACAAAATTTTTATAAAGAAAACTGAATGACTTCTCTATTCCCTATTTTTTCTTTAAATTTTTTTTTAATGTAAACATAACATTCTGACTGATAAGGGTTTAGCATATTATCAATATTTATCTCACCACTGTGATTATGCATAGGTACAGGCTCTGGTATCTCTACTTGTGCAAATGTGGCTTGTACGTTCAATGCTGGTTTTGTAAACCCTTACATGCGATGTTGTCCTTGAAATGGTCTTTTATAGAAAATAATGCTTAGACTTCACCTGTAGTTACAATTTTAATATCTTGATTAGCCGGTGAAGCGACATCACAGTTCTTCCGTCCACTTCGTCTCTCTGGTAGTTGCGCTTCACTTGCAGGCACTCCTGCGTCCCCAATTCCATCCCCTTCTAACGACATCAGACTGTAGGAACTTGTGCAAACAAAACATGATTAACAATTAACTTCTAATAATTTGAGTTGTTTTAAATCAATGGTTCAATGTCATATATTTCAGTTTTCCAAATTAGGATTATGTTCCTTCTTATGTTTCAATATAAACACAAAGATTTGATAAGTAAATTTGGCTGTATATGTAGAAAACTTATTAAAAACGGTATGTCACATCCTAAATTTGACGGTTATATTGTACTTAAAGGGCAGATCTCTGTGTGATCCGTGTAAACTCATCGAACCTTTAAACAAACTTATAAGTAAAGGTTATCTTACAAATGTTGTAATTATATCTTTGAATATAGTTTACATGGGCACAAATATCGATTTTGTCATCAACAAATTAAAAATAACTAAATTTGTATTTTTTTCAAGCGGGATGTATAAATACACATCCACGTTCATTTTTTCTATATAGAGGTTTACTCCTAACTATCCAACAGCCTGTCGATACTTTTATTTTTAGCATTGCACAAGTCATGTCTTCTTTAACTGTCCATGGCGTTAAAATACTAAATCATTGGTTGAATTTAGTCTTTGATGCATGGTTTTTCAACTATTATTTGAATTCGGCTTTTAACTAGCTTTCAGTAACTGCGAGTACTCTCAAATCATCGTACTTTCATGTTTATTTGACCTATTGATACAATTGTTATGCTTTTTTTTATTTAATGTTTCTCTATCTTTAATATATACCAGCTTTAATAAGTGTGTAGTATGACTATAATTTTATCTTCTGTTTTTCGTACTATGAACAACAAATTTTTTTTTTAATTGTTTCCGTTCTCTACCTTACAAAATTATTTTCTTTTAATTATTTGGCGGCAAGGTTATTTGTTCAAGGTTATGGTTTACATTCTGTAATCATTTAACATTTCACAGCTGTATACTACTGTTGCCTTTATTTTTTCACCCCTCTTTTTATTGATTTTGTATTTACATTGTGTCATAGATCAAATTTATTCAGTGTATGTTCACTTGTGTTTATATGTCTTTTGATTGATTTAAGCCATTTCAATTGATATTTTATAGTATGTCTTTCTATGTTGTGATGTAACACTATTGTTCCGGGTAAGAGTGAAGGTTGGTAAAACGTTTAAACCAGCTGCATTTATTTGCACCTGTCCTAAGTCAGGAACCTGATGTTCAGTAGTTGTAGTTTGCTGATGTGGTTCATAATTGTTTCTCGTTTCTCATTTTTTATATAGATTCGACCGTTGGTTTTCCCGTTTGAATGGTTTTACACTAGTCATTTTTAGGGCCCTTTATAGCTTACTGTTCGGTGTGAGCAAAGGCTCCGTGTTGAAGACCGTACTTTGACCTATAATGGTTTTTCTTTTACAAATTGTGACTTGGATGGAGAGTTGTCTCATTGGCACTCATACCACATTTTCTTATATCTATATATGGAAATTTGAAAATCCACATTCTTTCTCATCGTACTCTTAAATTTAATAACTTTACACTTAATAGATATGCGATTACTACATGCAGTGCCATATGTTCCAAAAAAAAGGTTTTAAATATTGAATTACAATGAAATTAATATACATGACGTTTAAGTATGGATCTATTCAAGTACACATTTTTTAGTTCTTTCAACTTCAGTGACCAGCATGATGTTTTTGGAAAAAGTTCCTTGTAAACTTTCAAGCCATATATGCTAGCCTACCATGTACAAACAAGCGTGAATAAATGTTTAACATGTTATAATGAAATATTTTGTGTAAAAAAACCCTTGTACCCTCCAAAGAAGGCTTGACCTAATTTGCTATAAAATATTTTTTTTCCACAATATGTAACGAAATAATAAATATTATTGCTGTAAAAGACATCTCCGTTTGGGTAAATGTACAATATGGCATGTCACTAAGTATATTCGCTGTTTTGAAACTATATAACAGTATGAGAACTCCGTCATACAAAAACGAGCGGAAGGTTCATAAACCTCAACTAATATCTTTTAAATTATTAATCTTAAAATATACCAAAGTATCGATACTTGTGTTCGAACTCCTCAAAATTAAAATTTGTATGGATAAATTTCCACCCTATATTCTTTAATGTGGCATAAATTTATCAAAACGTAAGCCTATAAATGCACACACATCTTTTATTCAACAAGTCTGGCGTATATACCTGTACTCACGTATTATTGTGTACCGTGTAATTCTACAGAAAAGACAAAAATAAAACATGTTATTAAACAAATTTAAGTAACTCGTGTAGCAAGATGCAAAAATTATTCATTGTAATTTTTCATTATTTTTTGCATTACCACGTGGCTGCGAGTTGAGTCTAGTGAAATGAAGTAAATTTAAATGCTTAAGTACTTTAAATACTCGAAAACAAAATAATCAATTACTAATAATTCAATTTCGAAATCAAGTTACAATATTTATTCCCTTAAACTTAATTCATGCAATACTTATCTTTATTTATTCGTTTTTTCCCTAAATTTTCCAACGTCTTCTCAGCTTGGTTTTAAAAGTAAATGTGAACTATTGAGGTGCACGAAGCTTTCCGGAAAACTCTCACATGCTCGAATTAGCATATCAACAGCAGGAAAGAACGACTCAGTTTGCCAAGCCTGGCGGTACACTTATTTGCAAATGCAGTAAACGAATTTAATTAAATCTGATTTTAATTAAATTCTTTTGTTTGCAATCAGTCATTTCAAATTACTCTGAATGATATTTTTTGGATTGAATATCAATATCCAGAGGAGGGACGACACTCTAAAAACGGCACGCATATTGGACTAATATTATCGATGCGTCGCGGTTAGAATGTGTCATTTATTATAAGCAGTTCGTGCTGTGAACATCACCATGATCACCTGGGCAGTAGAAATTTGTCGAATGAGATGATAAACAAAAGCAGTAAAATACAGTTGTAATGATCATACAAATTAAATACAAGTATACATCACGTACATGATAACCGAATTTGTTATTTGTCATCATTTGCCTGGAATATAAATGTATTCCCGTATTTAAATGATATATCCTGTGGCCTTTTTCGTACGACAGGACATTAGTAGAATACTCGTTTATTTAAGTCATTTAACTATTATTGAGCTTTTATTCGAGTCAAAACTTTATTTTAAGATTCGTTCTCCAATTATCACCAGGGAATATACAACTCACCCCCAGTTTTTGGTGAGGTTCCGTTTTGCTCAATCTTTATACATACAATTTACATAAAAGAAGTAAAAATTTGATGAATACTTATATGATATATATAGTCATATATTGTGTAATATTGCTTATATTTCTTCTTTTTACCAAAATTGATTCATTGATATCTGCAATCAGTCATTTTAAGGCCTCTGGATATTTCATGTTTTGATAAAATATATCAACATTTTAAGGATATCAGAGAAAAGATACTTTCATGCTGTTTGCATTATTTAAACATGCAAATTCTTGATATTTGTCAAAAATAATGCGCTGATATTTGCAATCAGTTTTTTTAATGTCTCTGGATAAGATACTTAAAAATTTTTTTTATTAGTATAAAGAAAAAGATGCTTTAACCTTTTTGATGGTAAAAAGGGATCCAATCATTTCTTAATTTGAATTGAACTGATTCAAAGTCATTGTTTTGTTGGTACTTTTTGAACCTCAGGAGGGATTTGTTTTTCATAAGATATTAAGAATATCAGATAAAAGTTTCAAAATATTTTCTGCATTGCTTAGAAATGACAATCTTTCTTTTTTTTATCATAAATAATGCCCCTTATTCTGCAATCAGTCATTGTATCGCCTCTAGACAAGATGCATAAACTTTTGTTTGCGTTAACGTTGAAATAAGGCTGCGCTTATTTCTTTATTTTAATTCAAGTGATGACTGTCATTGGTTTTTTAGTGCTTTTCGTACCTCGGCAGTGATTGTTTTTCTTGAAATATGATCAATATCGGAGAAAAAAATACTTAAATGTTGTTTGCAAATTGCCAATTTTTCTTCTTTTTACCAAAATTGATGCATTGATATCTGTAATCAATAATTATTTTTTTGATAAATTATCAACATTTTAAGGACAAAGGTACTAAAACTTATGTTTGTAGTAAAGACGGATGCAAGGATTTCTTCTTTTAAATTGAACTTATTCACAGTGTTTTTTTAGCCTCAAGATTGGTTGTTTTTCATAAAATAGGATAAATATAAGAGAAAGATACTCAAACTCAGTTTACGTTCTTTAAAAATGTCATATTTCATCTTTTTATAAGAAATAATGCACCGTTTTTAAATCATTGATTTTAAATGCCTCTTGAAACCTTAGTTTTTTTTAATTGATAAATAGTTTTAGATTAAAGATGTTTTTACTTTTGTTTGTTTTAAATAAGAATGCAGTTATTTCTTTTTTTTCATTCAAGTCATGACTCGACATTGGTTAGTTTTACTGTTTGTTTCTCAATTCGGGTTGTTTTTCATGAAATATGTTGAATATCAGAGAAAAGATACTTAATTGTTGTTAACATTGTTTAAACATTCAAATATTTCTTCTTTTTATCAAAGATAATGCACTGGTATTTGCAATCAATAATTTTTAATGCCTCTGGACATTTTTTTATTCTAAAGTTTGAATAATATAAGGATAACGATGGTTACACTTCTATTTGTGATGAATAATAGAATTGAGAGGGGAAAAGGGGAATGTGTCAAAGAGACAACAACTTGGCTAAAGAGCAGAAAACATCACAAGGCCACCAATGGGTCCTCATTGCAGATTTTTTGGTCTTTAGTACTTTTTGTACCTAAAGATGGGTTGTTTTAGATAAAATATGATGAATATTAGAGAAAAGATACTTAAATGTTATTCGGAATGTTTAATAGTGCCAATAAGTCTTATTTTTTTTTTATCAAAAATGATACATTGATATCTATATTATTCATTTTGAATGTCTCAATATAAATTATTTTTTGAAAGAATATCATCATTAAAGCTTAAAGATACTTAAACTTATGTTTGTAGTAAATATTGATGCAATCATTTCTTAATTCAAATTGAACTGATGCACAGACCAGTGAAAAGATAGGTAAATTCTGATCGCATTGTTTAGATATGCCAATAGTTCTTCTTTTAACAAAGATATTGCAATGTTATTGAAATAACTCATTTTAAATGCCTCTATATAAGATATATTTTCATGAAATAATATCAGACTTATGATGCTTAAACTTTTGTTTATGTTGAATAAGAATGCAACTATGGCGTTATTTAAATGGAAATCACCGTGTTTTTTTATTATGAATATCAGAGAAAATATTAATAAATTATGTTTACATTGTTTAAATGTGCCAATATTTCTTCTTTTAACAAAGATATTTCAATGTTATTTGAAAAGCACTCAAAAATTACTTTTGAATCTAAGATGGGACGTTTTTTTTTATAAGATATGATGAATATCAGAAAACCAATACTAAAATGTTGTTTGCATTGTTTTTTAATGCCAATATTTCTTCTTTTTATAAAAAGTAATGCACCTTTTTTAGAGTCATTGATTATAAATGCCTCTTGATACCTTAGTTTTTTTAATTGATAATAATTAGATATAAGAAGATGTGGTATGAGTGCCAATGAAACAACTCTCCATCCAAGTCACAATTTATAAAAGTAAACCGTTATAGGTCAAAGTACGGTCTTCAACACGGAGCCTTTGCTCACACCGCACAGCAAGCTATAAAGGGTCCCAAAAATTACTAGTGTAAAACCATTCAAACGGGAAAACCAACGATCTAATGTATATAAAAAACGAGAAACGATAAACACTTATGAACCACATCAACAAACGACAACTACTGAACATCAGATTCCTGACTTAGGACAGGCGCAAACAATTGTAGCGGGTTTTAACGTTTTAATGGTACCAAACCTTCACCCTGATCTGAAACAATAGTGTAACATTACAACATAGAAAGACACACTATAAAATATCCATTGAAATGGCTTAACTCAATCAAAAGACATATTAACACAAGTGAACATACACTGAACGAATAAATTTGTTCTATGATACAATGTAAATACAAAATCAATAAGATAATGGATGAATAATTAAAGTAACAGTATTAACCTTAAACAAAAATCCGCCATTTACAATAATATTGTACACATGTAAATGAAAATGATTTTGTTGTTAGGTATACAGTTTAAAAGGAGAAAGGAAATATTTTTACAAAATAAATAATTTTGATGTTCATAGTTCGAAGAAGTGAAAATTTAAAGTAATACCAAGCACTTATCAAAGCTGGTACATTATATAGACCAGATATTACCCAAAATAAGTAAACATTAAATAACAAAAAAGCATTACAAATAGTATCAACAGGTCAAATTAACAAGAAAGTACGATTTGAGAGTACTCGCAGTTACTGACAGCTAGTTAAAAGCCAAAAACAATTAATAATAAAAAATCATGCATCAGAGACTAAAATCAACTAAAACTCATCCCAGGGATTTAGTATTTTAACGTCATGGACAGTCAAAGAAGACATGACTTGTGCAATGCCAAAAATAAATGTATCGACAGGCAGTAGGATAGTTAGGAGTTAACCTCTTAATAGATAAAAATGAACGTGGGGGTGTGTCTTTATACATCCCGTTTGAAAAGAATACAAATTTAGATATGATTTATTTGCTGATGACAAAATCGATATTAGTGCCAATGTAAACTATATTCAAAGATCTAATTCCACCATTGGCCAGATAACCATTACTAATAAGTTTGTTTAAAGGTTCAATGAGTTTACACGGATCACATAGTGATTTCCGCGTTTTTAGTACAATATTACCGTAAAATTTAGGATGTGAAACACCGTTTTTAATAAGTTTTCTACAGGTAC